CTTGGGAAACACTTCAGGGTCCTTTTTGGACCTTGATGTCTAGAAAACTCCTGAACGGTAAGACTTGGAGACAAAAAACTTTTTTCATTTCCGTAACTCATTAAGCCAAACATTTATGGAAAGTTTCGTCAAGATCGGATGTACGGTGTTGGAGATAATTTCTGAGGGGGGGTAAAACGATTGAATTTACCATCCAACCATATTTTATAAACACCTGTTTATTTTCGTTACCTGTTCGTTTTAGTTAATTGCAATTGACATTAGTTTTCTTAAAACATGCTTCAGTCACAGTACATTACCGCCATGTCTTCTTGAATTTCCAGCAGCTTACCAATTATGGTAACAATCAATAGCAAATGAAGTATCAGTTTATTTACCACTTTATTCCGTTAAGACACCCAAAAAAATCAAAAAGTCGATTTTGAGATTTATACATCGCCGGAGAGCCCAAAGTGTCAGCTTTCGAATACACTATAGTTTTTAGTATTAGCTATGGATTTTGGGTTTTTTTCAAGAGCTTTTTCTCAAGGCACCGCGTTATAAAAACGACGTTTTTTGTTTTTTGATTATTCAAAGTGGTACAATTCAACAAAAAAAGAAATTCGACAGATGATTTAAAAACAAGCAAAACAGCGTATTTCAGCATTTTCATCAGAATAGCATTTTCGTAAACGTCTAAATGAGATGTTTTAGGACAAAAGAATCGGACAAAACATTCTGATTTATTCACTGTTACATTAAACAATAAAGAACAAAAATAATTGCAAGTTAAGGAAAAAAACTATATATCATTTATCTGAGACGAATTTCTGCTAAAATACAGATACATAAAAATGTACATCAACATCTGTTTACCAATCTGAATGCCCTTTTGCCAAGAAATCGTTCTTTTTCAAATTATTGGCTTGTTTATTTTGTTGCGATTCAAGTTTTGGACAATTTGTAATACGATGACCAAGACCATTACAATAGGAACATCCTGGTTCATCTAAAACAAAAATTAGATGAGTTAAGTAAACATCATTTTAAATTGGAAGACAAACTCTGTATTATTCTTTCTAAAATTTATTAAAATATATAAGTAAGATAAAAATAGCACTGTACCCCCAATATCCAATAGTTGTTCTTTGTCTGAATTGAATTGCAACAAAAATTGTGGAACAGGTTGTTTAGCTTCAATCAATAAATGTTTGAGATCAAGCAGAACAGCGTCATCTGACGAAGAAAAAAGCATTTTATGTATTATTCGACAAACACAGTTTGTTAAAAACGAGAATTCACTTTATAACTTACCACATGTTCTATTGACAAACGTGGTGGCTAAACCAACTTTTCCACATCGACCGGTTCTTCCGATTCGATGAACTACAAAGAAGAAGGATAAAAGTACTAATTCGAGTGAACTAAATAGAACTTATCATTATTATCTGTATAGTAAATACACCACTGTCAATCTGAAAACACTTTGTTAGATAGTAAAACTTGACTATTTCTTATCGTGTCCAATATAGTCGGCAAGAAAACATAAATATCATACGTGAAAAAGACAACTATATAAAGAGTGGCTCCGAAGTGCTGTCTCATTCAGTATTTTCTCAATATCTCGGCCAAGGTTGATCGTCAAGCCACAATCTTTTTTAAAAAAAAACCTCATTCAGTTCTCTATACAAAACATATTGAACATTTCTTTATATACTATAAGAATAAAAAGATATACCGGAAATAGGAGAAAGCTTCAAACCGATTACTTTCAAACCCCAAAAACAGATTTTTCGATTTCAGTCCCTTATAGTTATAGTTTTATGGAAAAAGAGAAAATGGTCATTTTGTAGTTGTTGAAAAGCTTTATTAACTGGCTATATTTAAGACTCTTTATAGGCTCAAGTGGTCGCAGAAGGATTTTTTTCTTTTAGCGATTTTGCCCAAAAACTTAGAGCTCCGCTGGAGCGGTTTACTAGAAAACTTTCTTCAAAATGTTTTTTCTGAAATATTGATACATACTGCATCTAGTGGCGGATCCAGAATTATTCTTTGGTACTGTATATACAGGTCATCGAACATAAGAGAAAGAAAGAGACTAACGACGCTAGAAGAGCAGACAAGAATATGACGTTTACTACTGATCAGACTAATTATGTCAGGAAGAAATGAGAAAAGTCACTCTACACATATGATCTCTTTATGTCATCCTAACATACCATATGGTGTCAAAAAAACGATGAAACGGGAAGAATAAAAGGCCTACGGAGGATTACTACTTAACAACTTACCATAATTTTCAATATCTTCCGGTAAATCAAAGTTAATAACATGTTGTATATCAGGAAAATCAAGTCCTTTCGATGCTACATCTGTTGCCACGAGAACATCTTTTTCTTTTGTAACAAATTTTTCTACAGCCCAAAATCGCTCGACTTGATCTAAATATGGCATAAAAAAACGTCTTTGAGCTGAGTCTTGTCAAAAGCATCCTTTGAAATCAACGAGTGTTAAATTATGTTGTGCTTACCTTTGCCGCCATGAATTGCAACAGCTTCAACGCCTTTCAATAATAGATACTCGTGAATGGCATCCACATCTTGTTTACGCTGAGCAAATATTAGCACCTAAGCATAGACAATCGTGTCAGATAGGTAGTTAAAACAAATAAAAATGCTTCTTACTGGCGGTGAAGTCTTTTGTAATGTTGAAAGCAACTGTACAACTCGTGCTTCAGCCATAACGTGTTCGATTTCTTGTTTCACTTCAAGACTGGCAGCACCTATGTGACATCAAAGATAATCGTAGTAAACATTTCACTTACAAAAAAAACAGAATGCGAATACGAACCTGCACGTCCAACATTAATCGTTATTGGTTTCACTAGGGCACTTTTAGCAAAATTCTGTATTTTTTTCGGCATTGTAGCAGAAAATAATAACGTTTGACGTTGAGTCTAAAAACAATCAAATTGTTAAGTATGTTTGGTAACACACTTATTTATTTTTGCTTTTATATACCTTGAAATGTGAAATAATATTTCTCACATCTTCTTCAAATCCCAAATCGATCATACGGTCAGCTTCGTCCAAACATAAATACCGACATATATCCAAATACAGTAACTTTTTATCAAGCATATCCATTAAACGACCAGGTGTAGCAACAACAATATGAACACCTCTGCAAAAGGAAAAAATGTTTAAGAATAGTACTAGTAGCCTACTTTGTTTTCTTACTGTTTAATTGTATCTAGTTGATCTTTAATAGCCGTTCCACCTACACACGTTGCTATACGTAGTTTTGGCATACCAGAACGATGTAAATGATCACAAATATTCGAGATGACTGTCTGAGTTTGTCGAGCTAATTCTCTCTAGAAGAATACAGATGGAGCATAAGTATGATAATGTAGTTACAAGCGAAAAACGAAACGTACCGATGGACAAACAATCAAACCGTACGGTCCTTCATTTTTGACGAATGGCATGGCTAATTCTTGTTCGCAACAAAACATGATGATTGGTAAAGCAAACACAAGTGTTTTACCACTTCCTGTATAAGCAATACCGATTAGATCTCGTCCGGATAAACTGAATAAGAAAAATATATTGTATAATTTATTGAGGAAGAAAAAAAAAAACGAATGAAAACGTACACAGCAGGAAGTCCCTGCATTTGTATTGGCGTTGGACGAGAAATTTTTTTTTCCGCAAGCGCATTCAATATGCCCGGAGGAAATTTCATGCTCTAAAATTAATGTAAAAACCATGCAGGCTCTTCAATAAAAACTGATAAGTAGTACTGACTTCGAATGTTTGCAGTGGGGCTGGAATATCATCTCCTTCTACGATAATATTATAACGTGATCGTACTCTTTGGTGACGTTCATTTTCCATTGATTTGATTGCACGTGGGGGACGCCAGCTAAAAGGACAAATCACGTATTGTTTATTTTTTGTCTTCTTATACCTTCAGAGAATGCCGCGAATCAGACAAACGCAAAAAAACAGCATGAAAAAAAAAATACCTTGTTTTGATAGGTTCTGTATACTCAATGCCTTTGGCCAATTCAGCAACACCCATTAAAGCTAAAATACAAAATATAAAAATTCCAAGTTCAAAACTTCAAACAAAATACCTTTCGTTTCAACCACATTTTCAAGAATCCGTTGTTCTTCTTGAAGAATTTTATCTGTGTTTGTTTGTTCAGAATCAGCTGCAACAAAAAAAAATTACATAAGTAAAAATTATTGTACGCTAAATAAAGATGGTTACTTTGTTTTTTTTTTAATTCAGTCGATTGTTCCAGAAGAGTGAATTGCGCTTGTGGGCCGACAGTGATTTCTTCGTCAACATGATTGTGATTGGTGTGCGAGTACTTTCGACTATCTGCTGAATTTTGAGAGTTTTCGTCTCCAGAATTTCCACCATGTAGACGTTCAAGCTGAAATAATAGTTAGAATGCCACATGTTATTCATAATATAAGAACTGGCAGTTGCGAAATTTACCAGCTTCAGACGTCTTTGTTTCAACGGCACATAAACTGGTTCATTAATAATTTCTGAATCAATATCTAAATCCAATTCTTTTGAATTTGAACGCTCCTAAACATATACATCACATTTCAAACATAATTTAATCTTATTGTGCAACATCGAAAAGCTCTTACTATTCGCCTCCGTTTTGCTTGAAATTGTCTGATTATGTCATGTTCATCATCGCTTGAATCCATTTCGTAAGAGCTTTTTATATCGAAAAAAAAGTAAATGGCATAAACATAACACATCAAATGAGCACAGTGCAATCCGGATAAAATATTCATTTATCCTTATCAGTTTATCAAATGGAACTTTCGACGCCTGCAAACAAAAATTTTGTCGCACTTTCGGTGCACTGGATGCCGAATAACTTTTTTTCTGAGAACCGATGCGTACCGGTGCGAGATTTTAACGGTGTTTCTGGCATTGGTGTGCATTTGTGTCCAACCAATGCTGAAAAAATCTTTTTATTAGATCGAACGAAAAACATCTGACTATTGGTAAAACTAATGGAAAAAGCCGAGAAAATGAAAAACACTCGGCCGAATGTTTTTCTTTTGTCCTATAAAAATATTTTACTAGCACGGGTACGCACCAGTGCCATTCAAAAAATTCGTTGCTTACCGATGCGCCTCAGTACCAAAATTTTGTTTTCAATGACCATTGTGTTTTGTCAACTTCTGCGTGCACCAGAGTATACTTTTAATATTTCGAATGTTTTTCTAACTTCATCTTTTCCTTCTCATACGAGAAGTATCGCACCCTAATATAATGATTAATACAAGATTACTGAAAACAACACTACGCTAATAAAAAACTAATTACTGATTAAAGAAATTCCAGTGCACATTGAAAAAATCATTGCAGCACTTTTCAGAAGATATATATATTGGTCTTGCGCGGGATCAGTGTAACATGGCACGCCATGCGGATCTTTTTTTTTTCAATGCCACACTAAAAAGTTTTTTGTAAGGAATTCACGAATGAAACTGACTCATTTTCTTGCTACAATCTTAAACGGTGCTATGAATGATGACTCTTTCAAAAAATATAGATTTCTCTTTCTCCTCCGATATAACATCAGTGGATTTTTATCCATCGTATTAATTCTCTTATGCAACACTTTTTCAGCCGATATACACACAGCTACTGCATCAAGAATTTCCTTGATAGTTTCGAGTAAAGCTTTTATAAAGAATGTACGTGCTGAGAAAATGTGGTAGAAAACGCTTTTTCTTACACAGACGTAGGGAATAAATAAGGTTAAGATTTCAACCACTTCTAGAACGTGTTGCCCAATTTTATTTCTTTGTGTGTCTGTCTATCCGCAAAACGTGGAAAAATGGACGAAAAGTAATCTATGGATCAACCAATCAGAAAAGGCAAAAGTGAAAAGCCGTTATAGAGTACATATTAATAAAGTAACAGAGAAACAGAGACAAGAAGGCAACAAACTCAAACTAAGATTTAATGACTAAATATGTCAAGTGTACAGCAGTTGAATGACAGAAAATTGAGTTAATAATCAGTTTAATAGAGGGAAAAATATTTCAGAACAGATTTCGATGTAAAACTGATAGAATTAGCTTATCTGAGAAGAGAGTGTACTCTAATGGGTAGTCAATCGTGGGGCTACTAGCAAAGCGACTGGTTGATATGAGCTATTATTCCTGTGGATAAATGAAACATCTAATAGTTCAAAAACAAGTCGTCCATTAGCACTTATTGCCGAACAAGTATCTAAAGATTTAGTTGAATTTATAAATAAAATATTTGAATCAGATGGATGTAAACTTCAAAGAAATGGACTTCAAGTCGATCATTGTGGCACTATGTATAATGTTAATATTGAAATATGTCGCAGTATGAAGGACTTTAAAATATCTGGTCTTCATAGTGCACACTGTTTGTTATGTTATTCTACGCCAGATGAATAGAAAGACATTCAAAAAATTGAAAAAGAATTTCCTATTGATAGAACAGCTAAAGTTACGTTAGAATTATAGCAAAGGTTTACTGGAATTAATTTTGGAATTATTCCGTAGGATCACTCCCACATTTACATCGACTTCTATTTCGATTTGATCATTTTGTTAGCACATAAGACTTTTTATGATACAATTTTAAATGACTGAAAAGATAAAGCATCTCATAACTATGTTGTGATTGTGTTTACATTTATCGTTTTTGTCTTATATATGCTTATTAAATAATCTTTTTCTTCGTAATTGTTTTTGTTTAAAAAATTTTGTTCGTCAAAAAAAATGAGAAGTGACTGATACCGACATCGCTCACATTTTAAATTATTTAGATAATATTAGATAATTCATCTTCGGAAAAATCTTATAATGGTAATTCACGAAATCGGTTACGTGATGATATTGGTAATTGGTGTCGATGTATTCAAAGCATCATTTTGCGTGACAAAAACAAAACGCAATTTAGCAGTACTAATTTTAACACTAGTTGGTATTGATGAATTGAATTTTATCGTTGGAAATAGCATGTTCATTATAGATAGATCTACTAAATTGAATTCATAAGCAAGAAACCATCAACCATTTATCATAGCACGATAGAGTGTAGGTTGTTGAAGACTAATCCACTATTAAAGGGTAAAAATATGCCTAGAAAATCTTTTACTATTGTGGCGTTCGTATTATTTATACATTCTGATTTAATAAATTTATTCTGAATAAGAATAATTTGATAAATTTATTTGGCTGTTAATATTTCTTATTCCCTTGACTTTAGTCTAGGGTCTTACGAAATGGTTGTCTGTGCACAGACAACCATTTCGTAAGACAACCATTGCGCAAAATACGGAAAAATGGGTGTTAGATATTCTATGAATAAGCGAATCACCAGAGACAAAAGTAGAAAATTATTTTTTACATAAGAGATAAATATTCAAAGAGATCATCTGAAATATCTACTGATGCAGAGAGGTAAACAGCTAAGCAAACGTTTTCTGTATAGGCCGGGGGTAGATGTTGGCAGATTAGCAGTCGACTGTGACAATACAAAAAAAGTGGTATAGGGTTAATAAAATTGACAGTGTATAGATAATCTATTATAACAAATCGATCAGAAATACTTCCAACCTCCTTGGGATCTGCAGAGGGTGTGCAAAAAACCTTTTAGCTTTATATTACATTAGATGGTTTTTCGGTGGAATCAAAGAAGTTCATAGCATTTCTCATCTATACTGGTTGCGAACGCCGACAGAAGAGAAGCATGAGGATTGTTTTGAATTCAGAAATAGTTTTAGACCTCTTGAGATTTTTGCTCTTTATATTCATATTAGATTCCGAACCTTATCATTACGCATGAAAACAGAAAAAGTCCAGAAGATGTCTTAGGCAGGTCCCCAGCGAGCGCCGACCGAAGGGAGGTGTGAGCATTGTGTTCGATTTATAAGTTACCAAAGGGCGTTCGCTTGCGCAGATCCAACTTAATAAAGTCAAGGGACCGAGCCAGTGGAGACGAGCGTTACCTTGTGTATTTTCGGTGTGCCGTAGAAAATGTCGAAAACTAAATATTGGTTCATATCGAATAGGAATAATGTAGAAGAGGAACAATGTCGAAAAGGAAAAATATCGAAAAAGTGATGTCACTAGTAAACACAGACTCTAAGCCTCTGTAGTATCAAATATTGGATATGTACACGTATTGAATGTTCACCAAAAATTGATACATATTTGCATGATCAATCGATTAAAATGACTGATGATCACTGTCGTCTTTCCGAGAAAGAAAAAACTGAAGTACGTGAATTTCGTGAAAAAGTCAAATAACGAGCAATAAATGAAACAAATTATGTTAAAAGAAATATTACACCAAAAATCAAGATGTGTCAGAAGTTTCTAAAGTGCTTCTCGACATTTTTTCGTTTCGGTATTTTCTCACTTCGATATTTTCCTTTCGGCATTACTAAGGCCAGCCATATTTTCAGCTAATTGTTTTTTGATAAATCTTATTTTTAATTCGATTTGCTATTGTTACATGATAAACAGTCCACAAATTAGATGAAAACTTAAGTTGATTTTAAATTATTGTTGTAATAAATAGGTACTGTCTAATAAACGTAGACTATTTCTTAATGTTGTTTATTTTGCGCATACATCGATAAAGTTTCTTTGCGTAATAATAGAGTTAGATTATGATCAACATTTTCATCATCAGAAAAAATAGCTTTTACTAAAGAAAGTATTTCTTCATCAAGATGTTGCCAAAAAACAAAATATTTTCCATATAAATTTACCAAATCGATTATATAAAGCAGATAATAATTCATTTATTCGTACTATAACTTGTTTTAATTAATTGTTGAGGTCAAGTGGGGCCATGTTGCTACATTCTAAAAAAAAAACAGAATAAGACACATTAAGGCGACTTAATTTGATCCTAAGTCGCATTTTTGTTTTAGAGTGTAGTAATTGATAATTTGGATATAATTGTCGTTCATTCACATCACCTTTTCTGGTAATCTTAACATTGCCTTGTGTTCACATAATAGATTTACCGGTGTCAAATTTCCACTGTCTTTGTTTTGTACTGTTCACGAATATTAAAGGTGAAATAGATAGTTGAATGATGTATGAACACATAAAAAGGGAATTTTTACTTCAATTTTCGTCTTTGAATCCGCTGTAGTGGTCAGTTCTGCTTACACAAAACTCCTCTGCTAGTTAAAAAATAATTCTCATTTTCCAGATTAGAAAAATGAATAATATAAAGAATTTTTTTTCAATTTCTCTGTTTTGTTTGAAGTATGTCAAATGGAACAAAGTAGAAACAAGTCAGATCAGATCACTTGCTAAACAATTTTATAGGTATAGATAACAAAATAAAGAACAACTGTCACATTTATAACTGATTCAACTAAAAATACAATAGAATGGACGTACAAATCGACAAAAACAAAAAGAAAGAAAAGAAAAGAAAAATGAACGAGAATTAAATTATAACATACAACATAAATTCGTTTTGATTGTGCTAAGTCCTTGAGCAATATTCACATCGGTTAGCTCCAATCAAACTGTTTACTCAGAAAATCATAACTATGATATAAAAAAAGAAGAAGAAAATGATGTACAAGAAATGGAATGTATTGAACACACTTTGTTCAATCAACTATTGTTTAACTAGTGTGATAATACCATTGTTTAGTTTCTATGATATCATTTTCAAACGCTAATATTGGTTCACTTTTGGTTGCTCTATAAGAGAATAGAAGATGATTATTTGCTGTTTTATGAACTATTATTGGTGAACTTATTTGTCTTATATTTTTTCTAACTTTTTTATTAAAACGAACTGGATAATTATCAGTATTATATGAATTTTTTTTTAAATTATCAACTATTGTTGTTTTCATTGATACACCCATATATACTGTAGATGTTAATGTTTTTCGACGTTCTTGTTGATAATTTGTTTTTATATTATGATTTCTATTTATTTGACGACGTCCAGTTAAATCAAAATGTACTTTATGATAATTATACATAAAACAAATATATTGTTTAATTTCATTTCTTAATGTTGGACTTAATATAACATATAATGTTGGACTAAATGCTAAATAAATTAATAGATTATAACGCATTAATATCATTAATATTGAATTATCTTTTGCATAATCAATTAAATTGAATGATACAAGTAAATAATATAATCGTGATGGAAAATATGTTAATAATAGCCAACATGATAAACACAATAATGTTAATGTGATTTCATGTGTTAATGATCTTGTCCTTTTTTTTCCAAATTGATAACAATTTATTTTCGCATGTGCCATTTTTTTTCGTCTTAAACACATTTGTCGACAAATATAAATATCAAATATTGAATTTAATAAAAATGGAAGTATAAAAGATATGGAATATAATAATATTTTTATTTTTATATCAAAATAATATTTTTCACGTTTTATTGAACATATACCATATGAAACACTAATCCAACGAAAAGTTGATATATCTTTAATAAATAATTCATCTATATGTAATAATAATGATATAAGAATAATTAAACATAAAACTATACAAGTTATTTTTGGTGTAAATACTTTTTTAACTTTATATGGATGCATAAATGTAAATGATCGTTCAGATGATAATAGCACCATAATCCATAGAGAACATGTTGATGATGATTGTTGTAAAAATGTATTGGTTTTACATAAAATATTTGGATTACCAATATGAAATAAAAGATATGACCATGTTTGACTAAATATACAAATACAATGTACAATAATAAATGAATAAATATAACAACGAAATGTACTATGACAAAATGTATTTGAAAATGAAAATATTAAAATAGCTATTAAATTAAACATAAATCCAATTGTACCAAAACAAATAGAAAATAACCAATGATCTAAAACCATTTTATCTGTATCACGATCAGTCAATATAATATCGTTTAAAAATTTTAAATCTCCGTAGAAATTTGTATCGTCCATCATCGAATCATTCATTGTTCCCATATTTTAACCTAAAACATATAGATGAGAGAAACGTAACTTTCTAGTACAATCACTTGTATAGATATATTTCTATAATAACTCAGGTTACAAGAGGCTCGCTTGAGCAAATTTTTTCCTGTGCTTTGCCTAGTACTTTGCCCACTTCCACAAAAATTTTCT